TGAATCCATACTATTGTAATAAGTATTATAGTAAGTGAATTGGTTTGATACCTCTACAGAACACTTGTTAAAATGTATTTGTTTTTCTACAACTGAAAGTGATATATACATTTAATATTATATACTCATTATTTTAGTAAATAGAGACTTTTTTATTTTGTTTATATAATGAATCCCCACAGTTGATTAAATGAATGTTCCAGAAAGAGACAGTTTATGATCTATCTATACTAATAAAAGGGTAATATGCTAATTAGTCCAGACCTTAGGATCTCCTTCCGGACAACACCATGGTGGCAGGCCCTAGGCAGAGGTGGTTAGAGGTGACCAGGCCAGGAGTGGAGGGCAGTTGGGGGCGAGCAGGCTGGGGGGGGCAGTTGGGGGTTGAGTAGGCCAGCAGAGGGGGCAGTTGGGGGTGAGCAGGCCAGCAGGGGGGCAGTTGGGGGTGAGCAGGCCGGCAGGCAGAGTGGTTAGAGGCAATCAGGAAGGCAAGCAGGTGAGTGGTTAGAAGCCCGCAGTTCCGGATTGCGAGAAGGATGTCCGACCAGTAGTCGGACATCCCTTGAGGGGTCCCAGTTTAGAGAGCGTGCAGGCCAGGCTGAGGGACACCCCCACCAGGTACAAATTTCATGCACCAGCCACTAGTAGCTATATACACTGAGTGACCAGATTATTATGACCACCTGACATTTGTAGGCAAATTAGCTATAATTTTGCGCTGAAGTTGCTAGAGGGCCAGACCATTATAAATAGGGAAGCAGGTTGTTTACCACGACAGTAGAAGTGATTTTTTTATGAAGATATGGGTAAACAATGTGGTTTAACAGCCTTTGAACGTGGGATATATTTGAATGCGAGTGGCCAGATTATTATGACCACCAATCACTACTTCGCTGGGCCACCTTTTGACTTCAATACTGCGGCGATTCTTCTTGGCATTGACTCCACAAGATGTTGAAAGGTGACACCATGCCTTATGAATAGCACTGTCCAGTTCTGTGAGATTTGATGGTTGTGGAACCAGCTGCCTGATGGCTCTTTTAACTTCGTCCCACAAATGCTCTGGTGATTGGGGGGGCCACCTAAGCAAGGTAAAGTCTCCCTCATGTTCTTGAAACCACTCCTGCACAGTACAAGCACCATGGCATGGCACATTGTCTTTTTGGAAGAAGCCATCTCCATTGGGATACACCATCAACATGATAGGATGAAGTTGATCAGCAATGATACCTAGGTATGTTGTGCTATTCAGACATTGTTCCATATGAATTAAAGGGCTCAAATCATGCCAGGAAAACATGCCCCAAATGATAACACTGCCCCCACCAGCTTGAAGGGTTGTACTCATGCGTGTGGGGTGCATGCTTTCATGCTGTTTCCGCCAAATTCTCACTCTGCCATCTGCATGATGCAACTGGAAACGTGATTCATCAGACCACATGACTTTTTTCCAATGCTCAACTGTCCAATCCTTGTGTTCCTGTGCGAATTGGAGACGTTTTATCTTGGTAACTGCAGACAGCAAAGGTGTTCGAACAGGCCTTCAGCTTCCATATCCCATACAATGCAATGTATGGCTAATTTGCCTACAAACATCAGGTGGTCATAATAATCTGACCACTCAGTATATACATATATACTAGAGGCCCGGTGCACAAAAATGTGTGCACTTGGGGCGGGGGGGGGGGGTGGTCCCTCAGCCCGGCCTGTGCCCTCTTGCTGTCTGGGACCCCTTGGAGATGTCCACCTGCTGGCTTAGGCTCACTCCCCAGGGGATCAGGCCTAAGCTGGCAGTCTGGCAACCCGGGAGTCCTAGGGGAAGTCCCCCTTCAGGATGGGGGTCCCCACTGGGGTGCCTGGCCAGCCTGGGTGAGGGGCTGAGGGCCATTTTCAGGCATGCCCCCCCGGCGACCTAAGCTCCAGCCTCTCCTTTTTTTCTTTTTTCTTTTTCAGCACCTCCTTGAGTGGAGGCCAGGGTGGGCTGGAAGCAGGTATCTGGGATTTATTTATCTTCTATAATTGAAACTTTGTCGCCTTGAGCAGACACAGGCCTGGCCAGGGCAGGCAGGAAGCTTGGCTTCCTCCATCACCGGGGACAACCCAAGTCTCCTGCTCACTCCAGCTCTGTGGCCGCCACCATCTTAGTTGGATTAATTTGCATACTTGCTCCTGATTGGCTGGTGGGGTGGCTTGTGGGTGTAGCGGAATGGTGGAGTGTTGGTTAATTTGCATGTTTCTCTTTTATTAATATATACTAGAGGCCCGGTGCACAAAAATTTGTGCACTCAGGGGGGAGGAGGGGTGCCTCAGCCCGGCCTATGCCCTCTCGCAGTCTGGGACCCCTCAGGGGATGACCACCTGCTGGCTTAGGCCCGCTCCCCAGGGGATTGGGCCTAAGATGGCAAGCAGACATCCCTCTGGCAGCCTGGCAGCCCTCGGGGGATGTCCACTTGCCAGCAGGGAGCAGACCTAAGCTTCAGTCAGACATCCTTAGCACTGCTGAGGAGGCAGGAGAGGCTCCCACCACCACCACTGTACTGGCAGCCATCAGCCTGGCTTGTGGCTGAGCAGAGCTCCTCCCATGTGAGAGCACACTGACTACCAGAAGGCAGCTCCTGCATTGAGCGTCTGCCCCCTGGTGGTCAGTGTGTGTCATAGTGACCAGTCATTCCCAGTCCTTCTGCTGTTAAGGTCAGTTTGCATATTACCCTTTTACTATATAGGATAGAGGCCTGGTGCATGGGAGGGGGCCAGCTGGTTTGCCCTGAAGTGTGTCCCGGATCAGGGTGGGGGTCCCCACTGGGGTGCCTGGCCAGTCTGGGTGAGGGGCTGAGGGCCATTTTCAGGCTGGCGGGTGACTGAAGCTCCCAACCTCTCCTTTTCTTCTTCTTTTTTTTAATTCTGGGATTTATTTACCTTCTATGGATGTCACTGGAACTGAGAGCCAGCTTTAGCTCTGAGGCTTGGCTCCAGCTCTGAGACCTCGGCTGCTGAAAGCAGGTATCTGGGTTTGTTTGGCTTCTATAATTGAAACACTGTTGCGGCTCCAGCTCAAAGGCCGGCTGGCTGAAAGCAGGTTTCTGGAGTTTGTTTAGCTTCTATAATTGCAACATTGTTTCTTAGAGTGCAGCTCAGAGGCCAGCAGTGGCAGGCGGGGAACCTTGGCTTCCTCCATCACTGGAGCAAGCAAGCCTCCTGTTTGCTTCAGCTGCCTGGCTGCCAGCCGCCATCTTGGTTGGCAGTTAATTTGCATATCGCCCTGATTAGCCACGGGGAAGTGTGTCGGAGGTACGGTTAATTACCATGTTTGTCTATTATTAGATAGTATATATATATGTATACACACACACACACACACACACACACACATATCCCATGTTCAAAGGTTGTTAAATCACGTTGTTTACCCATATCTTCAGAAAAATATCCCTTCTACTGTTGTGGTCAACAACCTGCTTTTCTGTTTATAATGGTCTGGCCCTCTAGCAACTTCAGCACGAAATTATAGCTAATTTGCCTACAAACATCAGATGGTCATAATAATCTGGCCAGTCAGTGTAAAAGCAAATGGAAAACTGAGAGAAATTAATTTCTTGTACGTAAATTATATGCACCAGCAAATCTTCTTTGATAATAAAAATAGGCAATCTTATATAAACACACAGCTTTACTAACTTGTAGATTAACCTGCATATTTTAAGCATTTATTTTAAAATATTCGAACTGCTATATCCTCAGTATAGCAATATTGCTATATTGAATAAGTAATGGATCTGCATAATTGATAAGAAGTATTTGAATTTACAAATTAATTTGCTTTTTGCCAGTTTATATAGAAAGCTGTTTTTAATTTTGTGAGAAAGCTTTGAAAGTGCTAAAACTCTGTTTAGTTTATCTCTGCTAAGAAGACTTCAGTTTTAGAAGATAGTTTTCTCTTCTTTGGCTGTGCTCTGAGAGCACCCTGTTCCATAGCTTAGGAAGCTAACACCGACCTGACCCATAAGATGTGTTAAAAAGATTGAATAAATATATTTTTATACTGTTAATTATCTATTTTTATTATATGTGCTTATCTAATTCTCTGGAATATAAAGACAAAGACCATTTGTTATTCTAAATATCCTATTTTTAGAAGCTATCATAATATATTAACCATAGCAAGAATTAATTCATGTAGTAGATATTCTTTTGACTGCAAGTAACAGGAAACTCAATGATCAAAGTTTTAGTAAATATAGGTAATCTTTCTCACAGAGCAAGGAAACCAGGGCATTAATGCAGAGCTCGGTCAATAAACTATTCTTCTGTTCCACCATTTTCAATGTTAAAGGGTAACTGTACATTCACCTTATCCAGAATCATGTCTTTGTTTAGGAAGGAAGAGAACAGAGGAAAAGGGTTTCTTATTCTGATGTTTTCAAATGTTTGTAGGCAGGGAATTTCTCCAGCAGACTTTCCCTCACATCTCACCAGTAGAACCAGGCTATATGCTTACTTGAGACCAATGAATGGCCAATGAAATGAGGTCATCAGGGAAGTTTAGACCAATCACAATTTAGCCTTTGGGACTGGGACAGGGGCTTAGCCTGCCAGAGATCAATAAAGTCTGTATTTCACCCAAACAAATTGTGCTTTAGTTATTAGCAGGGGAAAGGGGACCATCTAATAGTAAATGGACAATATGTGTTACACTAAATATTACATGCATAGCATTAGATTTGTTAAAATGAATTACTCATGTCATATGCTGTCCACAATTGTATCTTCATATTTTTATTTGTATTTGTTTGGTAAAATTCAATAGAAGCAACTCCTGTTTCTTTCAGGGTAATTACAAATGCATAAGTTTCTCTATATTTTAGTTATGCTTAAAAGAAAATATTCAATATTGAAAAGATGCATTATTTTTTTCCAAAAATTTTAAATGTAAGTTTTGCTTTTATAACTGCAAGGGAATTTCAAAAGTTAATTATGTGGGTTTTTTGTTTGTCTTTTCGTAGGTCTGAAAAGATAAATATGAATTTAGAATCCATTTATCGGTTAATTGAGGAAACACAAATCTTCGGGATGCAGCAGTCAGCAGTTAAACCACCTCCCGACATGGGAGCACCTGCCTCGGTCCCTAGGGATACCTTTAATTCCTGTTGGCCACTTAATGGGCTACAGTCTCATGCTGCCCACAGCTTCTGTGCTCACGCGTGCAACACCAATGAATGGGATATTTGTGAAGAGCTGCGCCTGCGGGAACTTGAAGAAGTCAAGGCCAGAGCTGCTCAGATGGAGAAGACCATGCGGTGGTGGTCAGACTGCACAGCCAACTGGAGGGAAAAGTGGAGTAAAGTTCGAGCTGAAAGGAACAGTGCCAGGGAGGAAGGAAGACAACTCAGAATGAAATTAGAGATGACAGTGAAAGAATTGAGTGCACTGAAAAAGAAGCAAAGTCCACCACATCAAAAGGAGACCTTGGAAGCTAGAGTTGCCCTGAACCAGACGCGTCCTAGTTTCACAGATGTGTCCTATGTACAAAGGGATCAATTTCAAACTGGCTCGCAAATGTGTGAGTCTATCAGAGAGTGTCTGGTGAAAAGAGAATTTCCCACAAAGGAGAACAGAAATACTATGGTAAGCAAATAAAGACAGTAATCCAGAGTCTACGGACATATTAGAATGCCTTAGACAGTGATGGGAGGAAGGGGAAATCACAGATCCGGGGGGGGGGGAACTATATTTGTTTTCCATAACTCAGTGCTGCACACTGGGTGACTTCAGTGACAGAAAGTTCTAGAGGCTAGAAGTCTGAGATCTGAGTTGGTTTCTTGTGATGCCTCTCTCCTTGGCTTATAGATGACCTTCTTCTCCCTGTGCCTTTACATCATCTTTTCTCTGTACGTGTCTGTGTCCAAGGTTCCTCTTTCTATAGGAGTGCCATCATTAGGTCCATCCTAATCACCTCCTTTTAAAATAATCACCTCTTTAAAGACTCTGGCCCCAAATACAATCACATTCTCAGGTACTAGGGGTTAGGACTTCAGCATACGAATTTGAGGGGATACATTCAGACTATAATAGTGATCATACAAAATGTATTTAGCAAAAATGTATTCAGCTTTTTTTTTTTTATGTGAAAAGGAAATGTTTAGAGAGACTTCCCTCCATTTATCCTTGCTATGTCAGTAATATTATAAATTATTCATACAGTAGTTTGAACTTTCCCAAGGTTTGGAATTCTGCCCTCACAATTAATTCCTGTAAAATGGGTACCATAGGCCAATACCTTTAGGGAATGCCTCATACCCATTCTTGGAATTTCTTGGTATACTTACACTCTTGAAGTTCTTAAAAATTCTGCTTGAAACATAGTTTTTAAAACCTTTTTTTAAAATCTAGCAGTTCATATCCATATTTATCTATGAACCACTCCTCCCCCACATTTTGTTAAAACTGGTAATTACTATTAGCAACCCATGGAACATATTTCAGGAAACTTTAGGAATTCATGTTGTCTCTTTTCATAGAATCAGTTTATCCTATCTAATAAAAGAGTAATATGCCTACAGCCAATAAGAAGGGAATATGCAAATTGATGCAACAAATATAGCAGCGCTGGCCTGAGTCATGGAGCTGGCCGGAGCGGCTGGGAGGCTTATCTTCCTTGGTCACCCCACCTGGCTCCGTGGTTGCCACCCAGACAAAGCCATGGTGGCAGAGCAGAGGCAGAGGTGGTTAGGGGTGATCAGGCCAGAAGGGGAGGGCAGTTGGGGGCGAGCAGGCTAGCGGGGGTGGGGGGGTGATGGGGTGGGGGGGAGGTAGTTGGAGGCAATCAAGTTGGAAGGGGGGCAGTTGGAGGTGAGCAGGCCAGCAGGGGGGTGCAGTTGGAGACAATCAGGCCAGCTGGGGGCAGTTGGGGGCAAGCAGGATGATGGGGGGCAGATGGGGGCAATCAGGTCAGCAAGCAGGGGCATTTGGGGGTGAGCAGGCTGACAGGCAGAGTGGTCAGGGATGATCAGGCAGGCAGGCAGGTGAGTGGTTAGGAGCCGGCGGTCCCGGTTTGCGAGAGGGATGTCCGACTGCCGGTTTAGGCCCGATCCCTGGGATCGGGCCTAAACCGGCAGTCGGACATCCCCCAAGGGGTCCCAGATTGGAGAGGGTGCAAGCTGGGCTGAGGGACATCCCCCCACTCATGCACAAATTTCATGCACCGGGCCACTAGTATTATATTTTTCTATGTAATTCCATTTCTAAAATCATAAAATTGCTCTTCTATAATTCCATCTAAAATTGTAATCCTTTCCATGATGTATGTAAATTATGGTAAATATAAATTTTATTGTAAATGAAAAAAGTTAAAAAATTATAATTATTTATGCTTATTCAGTCTTCCAGATTTGTTTTAAATATAAATTTTTTAAACTCGATAATCTAAGCTATTAGTCCTGTTGTGTATATCTTTGGAAAAATGTTATATATTCTCAAAATTCAACTCTATTAATGTATTTATTTGAATATAGTAATAGAGACTAGGGAATATAGCTCACTTAAGTTGTTCTGAATGTACAAATATTTATTATTACAAGTAATAGACACCACATTTGAGAATGTGAAAGATTCTCTTCACATATGTTTTACTGAGAAATGTTCAATATCTTGGGACTTCATTTGGAATATTTTTGTATCATTAGTATCAAGAACATCATACATAGTAGACCTTTATTAAAAGTTTATTTATTTAGGGAAAAGGATAGTTAAAATTCTTTGTGATGGTAGTGAAATAAGTTGAAGTTTTAATTAGCTGTTTTTATTTCGATCAGTTTTCCTGCTAACTCTAAAGATACTTACATATGAATGGATTGTCTTACCATGGTATTTTCCAAGGAGAACAACACGTCTTACTTTATTGTTTTTCAAAATGAGACATAATAACCATTAATTTTGAGAGAATGAAGAGATGAGTCATGCTAGTAACCTAACATTTAAAAATAAATACTAAAATAAGTACTGGCTGGTGAGACTCAGTGGTTGAACATCAACCTATGAACCAGAAGGTCATGGTTCGATTCCCGGTCAGGACACAAGCCCAGGTTGCGGGCTCAATTCCTAGAGTGGGGTGTGCAGAAGGCAGCCGATCAATGATTCTCTCTCCCTTCATCTCTGAAATTAATAAAAATGTTTTTAAAATAAGTAAATACATAAATACTAAAAATTAAGTGTCATTAATATTTTATTTGAACTTGTCTATTAATTAAGATTTTATTTGAACTTTTCTTTATCTCATTTTAAACCCACAAATCAGGGCAAATTTAAATTATAGACAGATATCTATAGCATGAGTTTGGCCAAGTTTTGGAATTATGATGTAATATTTTGAGGTAGTGTACTGCTCTGATAAATGATGCTTATGTATATTAAAATGTCCCATTAAACTCTATTTGAGCTTTAACTGGTGACCTAAATAATAGTTCAATAAACAAGCCTATTAAAAGATTCAAGAATTTCCTGAAAATTCTTTCTCCTCTGCCCTGAAAAGATGTTAAAAAGTAATCAGCTGGCTTTCCTTTGAAGCTCTCAAGTGCCTTGTGACAAAATAAACTTTAAAAAGAAATTCATAAACTCATTAAATAACTCTTTACAGCTGTTCAAGTTCATGCTTGGCTATTTTTAGCTTTGATTAGAAAAAGAAAACTCAAACTAAAAGTTAAAGCAGACTTTTTGAGAAATGTATTTGATTATAATAAGGTAGAACATAGAAAGAAAGAAAGATGCTTGAAGAATGCAAGTTAATGCTTGGCCATATAACACTATTAGAGAATGATTGAAAAATGAAAATATACATAACACATAGACTCAGAGAATAGTGTGGTGACAGCCAGAAGGAAAGGGGGTGAGGGGTAAACGAGGGTGGGCAAAGGGGGAGGGGAAGGGGATGGAAAGAAACTTTGCTTTGGGCGATGGGCACATGATGTAGTGTGCAGATGTTTTGTTGAATTGTACACTTGGAACCAGTATGGTTTTGCAAACCAATGTTACCCCAACAAATCCAATTTTAAAAAGTGAAAATATGAGTTTGATCGTGAATTATAACATTTATTTCCTTCCAAAAGTATGGAAATATTCTGCATGATTTGCCTACTGAGAGATTTAAAAATTCAACAGTAATAACTGTTTTATGTTTTTTCCTTTTAGGAAGAAAGTTTGATTTTCGACCCATTAAGATTAAATGAGGAGAAACTCCATCTAGACTGCTCTGATTTATTCGAGAACAGTGGTTCCGGAAACGGTGCAATGAGACCTGGGCTACGACAGCCAGCGGGACACCTGCCTTTGGAGTATGGAGTGCCTGAAATTTCCACTTTGCAGGAGCATTTGGATGAGCTCCAAAAAATCCTTAGGAAAGAAAGGGAGTAAGTACGACAATGATCAGTGCAATCATCATCTCCCTTAACCAAGTCTGTTTTTCAAATTTCTTAAAATTAAGTCCAGCAAGCTGGCCATTTGATAATGCCTTTTACCCATGATCAGTCATTATGTTCTAATACTTAAAAGATGAGTTTTCTATGCTACATTCATTTTTTAAAATTTTGAAGAGTAATTTATAATTTATTAGTTTTTATTCTTTCATCATAACCTTGTACTCATCAGCTCTGGTAGATTTACCTTATTAATATTTGAATTATTAATGTATTTTAACCATATACATTAATATGGTTAAAATAACCATATTAATAAATAGCCAGTATATTAATACACTGAGTCAATTTGTCTCTTATATTAATAAAACACAAATTATGATTTTGTGAGCTATTAATCACAGAATAAGATGCCTTACTCGTAGACCATTTTTGGTATAGAGGAAAGAGCACTAGAATTGAGATTCAATGATCTGGGTATTCATCTTAGTTCTGATATATTTTGTTCTTTTATATTTACTTAGCCAGTAGATACTATTTTGTCCTTGGTAAAACTATGCATAATGATGCTTATATTCCAGTTTTCTATTCTTTAGTAACAGAACTTCTCAAACAACAGTTATTGAAACAACAATCACCATGTGTCTATTCATGGATCCGGAGCACACTTTCCTGTGTGGCATCAGATGGGAGAGCTCAAGAGCTGGGGGCTCAAGCCATCTGAAGCCTCACTCACTCTGAAATGTGGCTGATCTTAGTTCTCACCTTGGGCCTCGTGGGAATACCTGCATGTGGCCTGTCTTATCCATATGGCTTCTTGGCTTCTTCACTGCATAGGGCTAGGTTGCAAGTGAACATCTTCTGGTTCTCAACCTTCTGGCCCTTTAAATACAGTTCCTCATGTTGTGACCCAACCATAAAATTATTTTCTTTGCTACTTCATAATTGTAATGTTGCTACTGTTATGAATCGTAATGTAAATATCTGATATGCAGGATGGTCTTAGGCGACCCCTGTGAAAGGGTCGTTCGACCGCCAGAGGGGTCGTGACCCACAGATAGAGAACCGCTGTCTTAGAGGTTCAGTGAGAACTATATAGTGTTTTAATGACCTTGCCTCAAAAGTCACTTAACATCACTTCATCATACTTACTGGTGGAGACAGTCTCACAGGCTGACAAGTTCAAGGAAGAGGAGTTCCCTCAATGGGAGGAGGGCATAAGTCCAGTTATGACAAGAGCATGTAGGATTCTACCATGGTGGCCGCCATCTTTGGAAAATGCAATTTGCCATTTGCCTTACTCACTGAATTCTTACGGATCAAACACAAATAAAGTCTGGGAAACTGACCACTATTATGAATTACTCCATATGCTTATATTGTTCATGTTTGAAGGGAATATTTATAGAGTATTTGATGCATGTTAAGATGTGGTTCCCAAATTTAAAAACATTTTCCCATCTCTTTAGTTATAACTCTTTTTTTGTTATAACTCTTAATAAGCAAAATTTTAAAAAGCTGGGAAATATATATATGTGTATATATATATATATATATATATATATATATATATATACAAATATATATGAATATAATTATTATATGATGGTTTCAGTTTCCATGGTTTAAATGAATTGAAATAGTGATAAATATACTTACAAACCTTTCACAAATACTGTACAGTACTTTATCTGTCATTTCTTTTCTATATATGATAAGTTTCTTATTAGTCCCTCTAATATTTATATATACCACTAACTTCTTTAGATTTTTGGTCTCTACTTCATTACATGAATAGATTGTGATAATACAAGCATGTTTATAGAATAAGTATTTATTATTCTACAGTTAACTGTACATTTCTAATAGAGGCAATCAACTTGAGTAGAAAAGTAAATAAAATTGAAGTAATTTTTAGACTGTAGGTCTCCATCAAGTTCTAAACTCTGTGTTTTATTTCTTGAAGGATTTAACTTTCTAGCGGTTATAGACTTCTCTCAAACCCACACACAATGGCACTTCACTGCCATAATGGGAGCATGAAACTGTGTTTCCTCGAGGTAAACTTCCTAAGATGCAGCTTTGATGATACCCATGTGTATCTTTCCTCTCTCACTCACACACGTGTACATGAACATATATATTTGACTTCCTTGGAATAAATGAACTATCTCCATAAAAGTAAATTCTCCAGTTTTCAGCAACTCCAATATAAAAACCCTACACAGGCCAAAGAATAAGGGGGAAGGGGCCCTTACTATCCAGTTTGTCTTCTCACTCTCCTCTTTATGGTACCCTCCCATGGGTGTTGTGTCTATGAATCATCATTAGCTTGCAATCCACAGGAGGCCATTGCAAAGACTTTTCTCTGTCAGGAGAATGTTTCCCAAGGATATAGCATATACTGCTGCTATAAATCTGTCTAGTCTTTTAAATTCCTCCCCTTGGAATATCAGCAAGTGGGTGGCTGGCGTTGAGAAGATGTGAACATGGTTTTTTCTGTGTTCCCAGCTGGTGGGAAAATTCTCCAGACGGGAGCACAGGCATCAGTGGGAGGATTGTGGAAATCATTCCCACCGTTATCACTGATGAGGAACTCCTCCTTGAACACGCTCAATTTCATCACATTATTGTACTCATAGTACTGTTCAGTTTTCTGTGCAATTATCCAGTATCTGAGATTTGCCAAAAGCCTGTGCTTTTGGTGTTGAATTAAGAAAATCATTGCCAAGACCAATTCCAGGAGCTTTTCCCTGTATTTTCTACCAGGAATTTTATAGCTTTAGGTCTTATATCTAAGTCTTTAATTCATTTGAGTTGATTTTTGTGTACTTTTGCCATTTGTCATTTCCCAGGATCTATTTTGTGCTTAGGTGGTTGTCCACCTAATGAGACAGAGTCCATTTTTCTGAATAGTCTACAAAAAAGGCTAGAAAGTTTCTATCTCGGTCTGTCTTCCAATTAGGGTGCAGACATTTGACCTGGGAGCAGGTTTCAAAGGTAGCTGCCTGTCTTCTTAGCAAAAGCTGATGCTCCAAGGAAGAAAGCACCCGATTCCCTCCTGGTGAGGGGGAAGGCAGTGGTGGTGGCTACATCTTATTTCCCAAGGAGTAGTGGCCTCTGGTCTCTGTTGACACCATCCTGTGTGCCCAGCGGTTGGTACTGAGGTCATGCTGTGCTCTCTGTACTTTACTGGGGGCCTTGGTGGGTATGGATGAGAAGATTTCAACAGCTGTTTGTTATTTCTCACTTCATGGGATCCCCATTTCCTTCTCTGACTCTCTTAGAGATTCTTTGAACTATTAATATTCTTTTCCTGCTTAAATTGGCTAATCCTATATAATACAAGGCTAATATGCAAATCGACTGAACGGCAGAACGACCAGTCACTATGATGCTCACTGACCACCAGGGGGCAGATGCTCAATGCAGGAGCTTCCCCCTGGTGGTCAGTGTGCTCCCACAGGGGGAGCGCCACTCATCCAGAAGCCCTGAGCCGGCTTAGAGCTGGCAAGTGCAGCGGTGGTGGCGGGAACCTCTTCTGCCTCTGCAGCAGTGCTAAGTATGTCCAACTGATGGCTTAGGCCTGCGCCTGCTGTCAGCCGGACATCCCCCGAGGGCTCCTGGACTGCGGAAGAGTGCAGGCTGGGCTGAGGGACGCCCCCCCCCCCCACCAGTGCACAAATTTTTGTGCACCAGGCTTGTAGTATGAATATATATGCTCATCAGACACACTTAATTGATACCAGGAAAGAGTACTGGCAAGAGGCAGGGAAGGTGACAGGCATGGGGTTTTCCCAGGACCAGTTCGGTGGCATGAGAGTGGATTTTGTACCTGGAGGCATCACCTCCAGCTTCGGCCTCTGGTCCTCCCGATGTCTCCGAGAGCTTTACGATATTTTTTAAATATCTATTTTCGTTTTTTTATATACATATATATATATATATTTTTATTGATTTTTTACAGAGAGGAAGGGAGAGAGATAGAGAGTTAGAAACATCGATGAGAGAGAAACATCGATCAGCCGCCTCCTGCACATCTCCTACTAGGGATGTGCCCGCAACCCAGGTACATGCCCTTGACAGGAATCGAACCTAGGACCTTTCAGTCCGCAGGCCGACGCTCTATCCACTGAGCCAAACTGGTTTCTGCAAATATCTATTTTCTAATTAAATGAACTATATATGGCTTTGTCTATTTGCTGAAAGGTGCTGACAATGAAATATACTGAAAGGTATAACTATAAATAGTTGGGAATGCAATCAGGAAATGAAAGTATATGTATACAATTTTTTATTATTCATTGTTTAATACTTAGCTTAAATTTTGGACTAATAGAAAAGTGGATATCTAAATGTCATTGAAAGTTAATCATTTTTGTCTGGTACAAACATTTGACATTAATAGGCCTTTAAGAAAATACTGATTTGATATTTTACAATAAATTATCACACAGTTTATAAATGATTAATATTTACTTCAAGATATTAATGTTTCAGGAATTTTCATCTCTGAAAAGTATTTTATTTAATCTTTCCATTTAGATGTTTGAATGTTATGCCCAATTATTATGGGATCATGATAGTTTACAGAGTACCAAAAGGTTGCATAGAAATGTAATAGTTTTCCATAAATATTATTTTGGTTTACCTTTAATCTTTTGTATTCTGGAAATTATATACATTTTAGCAATCTTATTTTTAAAAGTATATATCATCATATTAAATGCTATATTTTTGCTGAGTTCATCTTAATTTAATATTTTTGAAGAATTTGTGCATAAAATATGCAGTATTTTTAGTGTAAAATTACATTTTTTTCTTTTCCTTCTTATAGTTCAAGTAGTATGATAGCTTAAACTTAACTATGTGAGTAATCAATTATGAAAATCTTTATAAAATGTAGAGTACATTGATTAGGCCAGAAAATGAATTTAAAGAGCACCCTCTGCTATATAAAGTTAAGTATGCAATGTCCTTAATGCTTGCTTGCAGAAATAGTCACAAACCTTTTGATGAGGCTATCCTAAAAATATTCAAGTATCACATTGCCATTCATTTTTATGAATTACCTGTCCTGTCATATCTTTGACTAAATTTTACCTTTTACACAATAAAAATACAAAATTTTCATGTAAACAAACAATTATTAGTTATTTTTTTTACATACACTGAGGAATAAATACACTATATTTAAGTACAGTAAAACTTCCATACAAACTAATTCAGGCCAGTGGCTTTCCATTAAAGCTGAAAGTCCATTATATAATAAAGCAAGTTTTCCAAATATGTATGTTAAAAAATTAACAAATTAGTTAATCTTTTTTCTACTTATGTAGACACATTTGTGTAATTAAGATTATGTATGAAAAGTTTAATTTTACAGAGAAGTTTTCTGTCTATATTACTGTATGATCTTGAACTTGTAAATTTAAAAATCTAGATTTTTCTCCAATTATCAAGACCAGTTTTTACTTATTCTATTTATGAGTAAAATAATTCTGAAAATTATTTTTAAGGAGAAAGTTTATTAATGTATTCATAAATACACAAATACAATTAATATCCTTTAATAAAAATTGTTAATGTTTTATATATACTTATTTCTTTATACATTTTTAAATTCTGTAGGAAAAAAACATTCCCATGTTATATTCTTGTTGCTCCAATAAATTAAAATACAGGAGAAAGCAGACAGAAAGTCAATTATTTCAATATTGGCAAAGCTATATGAAATATATCTAACCAACTGTAAAGCTAATTGACAGAATAATAAATTAGAGTTTATTCAATATTTATAATTTTTTCATAAATTTAAAACGGTTTCCTGTAATTACTATGATCATATATAAGGTAAATATAAAAACATTAGAAAAAGAGCACATCTAATTTTGAATGCATTACTAAAATTATTTTTAAATTGTGAGCCTGTTTTGCTTTTAATTATTTAGAAGGCGCTCATCCCTGGAAAAAGAAGTAGAACGACTGGAGTCAGCTGTGTCTTTGTGGAAACAGAAGTATGAAGAACTGAAGGAATCGACATCCAAAAATAGGAAAGAGGTATGGAGACTTAGGGTGTAAAGGAAGAAATGAAACTGAGGGTTCTCTCTGGTCCATGTGTAACCGAGGGGGCCAGAAGCCTCTACAAACAAAGGAAAAAAGGTTAAAAGTGGAATTTCCTCTATAAGAGGAATGTTGGAACTCACACATCACTGGTGGACTGGTCAAACTCAGGTCATAAGAAATCTTGTTCTAAATAACACACACACACACACACACACTCACATATAAACCACATGTCTGCTGACAGCTGTTTGAAGAGCATCTAATTCAGTGATGTAATTGTGCCTTAATTAAAAGCACTCTTCATTCGTTGTTAAAAAAGCAATATTCCTTTTTATGAAATTCCCCATGAATGTTGTTTCAGGTCTGTTTCCAGCAAGTGGTAAAGTTTAGAGTCATTAACATAAGTTCGCAAATCCACACCATGGGATGTTCAGGAACCTTAGGTCGCAGAATAAGCCTTACTTCTTGTAAGACGCAGGCAACCTGATGGCCAGAAGGCACGGTAACCTTGGGGCAGAGGTTCAGTAGTAAGTCAGCTCTGTCACCCTGAGAACCAGAGATTAGAAAGGAGGGAGAACTTTTCCTAATATTCTTAACAAATGTTGCCTGCTTGAAAATCATCTACTAGTATAAGGGAAAATAATTTCAGTGAGAACTACAGAAAGTTAATTTGAGAACATTTCTCAATGAGGTGTAAATTAAATAATTAAAGCTAACCAGCTGTTTTTAGATTATTTCTCCCTGATGGATGTATGTTAGATCGCCAGAGTAGCTTTGTTTTTAGCTTAAACTTTGGATACACACACACACACACACACACACACACACACACACACACACATGCATTTATATATGGACACACAGGTAGCTAACTAATCATGATGTCTCTGGGTGTGAACATTGACAGTAAATTAGTTTTATCCAGGAGAAATAGTTTGCCCACAAAAATCATGTTATTCTTGGAGCGGATGTGTATTTGTTCTATAATATAATGGGCTCTAAATTTAATTGAGAAAGCTAATATTTAAGATAGACTTGTCTTTAATTTTAAAAGAAACATGCATTTACTGTATGTTGCCACTAGTGGGAAGTGCAGACTTGATAATGTTAGTCTCCTAACTACTTCTTTTTAAACAAGTAACAACATTTATATAGCAACTGTTTTGGAAAAAAGTCATGGATTTGAGTTGGCTTACAAAGTGATATGTATGTTTTTAAATGCTTAACTTTTTTTCTAATTAAAGATGATATTTCTGGCATCAAGTGGGAAAGTGTATATTTGAATTGTTTAACAAAACTTCATAGATGAGAAAAAAATAAAACCAATGTAGCATTTTACAGGTAAATGGGGTTTATATTTTGATGCCCAAATTAATACATACGTGATCTTTTTACCAGGTAAAATGAGACAGGGTTGTTGTAACAGAAAACAATAAAAACACCCTCAAAATTGCCTTGGAGACTTTGTTCAACTATTTAAACATTTGGGTGCATGTTTTAGACAGATTAACTATGAATCTGAGCAATGAATGAATGTGACAATGAATGAAAAATGTTTTTATTGTAGATGATAAAAAGTTAATTTAAACAGACATAAAGAAAAAATTGTTTGAATTATTTATGTGGGTATTATTTTTTTTAAAATTAAATCTTTATTGTTCAGATTATTACAGTTGTTCCTCTCCCCCCCCCCCCCATAGCTCCCCTCCACCCGGTTCCCACCCCACCCTCTGCCCTTACCCCCTCCCCCCCACTGTCCTCATCCGTAGGTGTACGATTTTTGTCCAGTCTCTTCCCACACCCCTTTCCGCCCCCCCCCAGAATAGTCAGTCCACTCCCTTTCTATGCTCCTGATTCTATTATATTCACCAGTTTATTCTGTTCATCAGATTATTTATTCATTTGATTTTTAGATTCACTTGTTGATAGATGTGTATTTGTTGTTCATAATTTGTATCTTTACCTTTTTCTTCTTCTTCCTCTTCTTAAAGGATACCTTTCAGCATTTCATATAATACTGGTTTGGTGGTAATGAACTCCTTTAGCTTTTTCTTACCTGTGAAGCTCTTTATCTGACCTTCAGTTCTGAATGATAGCTTTGCTGGGTAAAGTAATCTTGGTTGTAGGTTCTTGCTATTCATCACTTTGAATATTTCTTGCCACTTCTTTCTGGCCTGCATAGTTTCTGTTGAGAAATCAGCTGACAGTCGTATGGGTACTCCCTTTTAGGTAACTGACTGTTTTTCTCTTGCTGCTTTTAAGATTCTCTCTTTGTCTTTTGCTCTTGGGATTTTAATTATGATGTGTCTTGGTGTGGTCCTCTTTGGATTCCTTTTGTTTGGGGTTCTCTGCACTTCCTGGACTTGTAAGTCTATTTCTTTCACCAGGTAGGGGAAGTTTTCTGTCATTATTTCTTCAAATAGGCTTTCAATATCTTTCTCTCTCTCTTCTTCTGGCATCCCCATAATTAGAATGTTGGTATGCTTGAAGTTGTCCCAGAGGCTCCTTACACTATCTTCATATTTTTGGATTCTTTTTTTCTTTTTGTTTTTCTGGTTGGGTGTTTTTTGCTTCTTCGTATTTCAAATCTTTGACTTGATTCTTGCGATCCTCTAGTCTGCTGTTGGAACTCTGTATAGTATTGTTTATTTTAGTCAGTGTATGCTTAATTTCTAGTTGGTCCTTTTTCATAACCTCAAGGCTCTCACTAGATTTCTTGAGGGTCTCACTAAATTTATCAGCGGTTTCTAGAAGATTCTTGAAAAACCTTATAACTGTGGTTTTGAACTCTATATCCAGTAGTTTGCTTTCCTCCATTTCTGCCATTTGTGACCTGTTTCTTTGTCTCTGCATTTTGGCTGTTTCTCTGTGTTGATAGAGTGGCCTTGTATGGTAGGTGTCCTATAGGGCCCAGTGGCTCAGCCTCCCCAATTACCTGAGGTGGACACTCTTGGTGCACCCCTTTGTGGGCTTTGTGCACATTTTTGTTGTAGTTAAGCCTTGATTGTTGTAGGTGTCACTGGGAGGAATTGACCTCCAAGCCAATTGGCTGTGAGAATCAGTTGTGTCTGCAGTGGGAGAACTTCTGTGCTGCAGACACCCTTTCTGGGACAAGATTTGCTTCAGTGGGGCTTTGGTGCTCACTGAGTCTGCCCCCTGAGTGTGTCCCTTATGGATCTGAGGAGTTGTAATCTGGATGGTCCCACTCTGACCACTGGGTACCCTGGCTCTTGGATCTCTAAGGAGGTGCTAATTTAGCCTCTGCCTGAGGCTACCCAGCAAGAGCTATGGAGAGATCTGCAGATTCCTCTTCTTTGTTTGGAGGTGCCCGGATGAGGCCCAGCTGTGAAGCAATGCAAGCTGCTGTGGGGCCTTGGGCCTTCTTTTGGAAGTTCTGGGTCTCTCTGACCCAGCTGCAGTTTGTTAGGTAATTTTCAGATTGCAAAGGGCCAGGCCTTTCATATGCAAAAGCCTCTGCACACAGCTTGTGTGGGGCAGGGTCTCAGGGGATCAACAGGGTGGAGCAAGCAGCTATGGTTTCTCCTCAGTCCTGCCCTAAGAGGCCCCATGTCTCAGTGTTCCAGTAATCACTGCAAGCACCTCTGAGAGAAAGCCACCCTCGAGTTCTGACAGTCCAGTTTCTCCCTGTGTGAGTCTGGGTCCCCAGAGACTCGCCAGGAACTGGAGTTCAGAGCAGTTGGGAGCTTGAGACTCCCTCTGGATTGAAAAAGACAACCGTGTCCTCAGTTGCCAGCCCTTTCCACATGCACCTCTGTACCTCTGCACTTTACTTCCGCACCTCCTCTGAGTCTCAGTGTGTTTTTCTCTTTCCTTCTAGTTGTAGAATTTCCACTCAGCCAGCCTTCCTGTGGTTCTGAAAGATGTCTGTTTTGTCTTTTAGTTGTATTTTTGAAGTGGTTGTGCGAGGCAGCAATTTCCAGTGTTTACCTGTGCCGCCATCTTGGTTTCTCCCTGGGTATTATTTTTAAAACTATCTCTTTCCACTTCCTAAAAAGGAATTTGTTCTATTTTTAGGGCCTTTGTAAAGAGATGTGGTCTGCTCATATATTTAAATTATTTTTGTAAAATATTATACCTTTTTTAAAAACTTTAAAATCGGAATAAATAAAAACATTTAGTCATTATTGTTCATATATACTTTTGTTTAATCTATAGTAATAAAAGTATAATATGCTAATTAGACTGGGCAGCTGAATGACCTTCCAGATGTCCTTCCGGACCACCTTCCAGATGAAGCCAGGGCTGTGAGAGCCGAGTCCCTGGCATGAATTTTGTGCACTGGGCCTCTAGTTGTTTTATAATAGATGATAACAGAACAAGATTTTTATGGTACATTTAGAAATGGCATTTTAAAGTAACTATAATTGTGAAGTATTCAAAGTTCTTGTACAGTTGACTTATCATTAAAAATTGTGTCATGATACATCCTTTGTATCATACTTAATATGAATTCTCCTTACTTAACTTCATTTCTCAAAAATTTTGAAAATATCCTATGCTTTCACTGTAGCTCTTCATCTACTGTACAAAAACATTTGAATACAGTGTAATTCTTTTTTAGATGCTGAAACTATTAGAAGCAACAGCATGCCTGGCTAGGAACTGCTGATGGAAAGATTAATTTTTAAGAGTTGGAAACCGATGTGTTTAATAGACCAAGATTTTTAAAAATGTATTTGAAAGACTGGTATGCTTCAGAGGGAAGTCATTCTTAAATCACTGACATGTAGAGAAGAGTAAATATAGGAACTTAATTGTAAAATCTAATAAGTATTTAAAGTGCAACTCAGACAATGAGTAGCAGAGATGATTACATTGAAAATGATATTCCCATGCTGACTTTAATACTTATTTTGCTTTTCCTTTGCAAGTCTGTAAATATTGGTTTGGGATTAGATGATAAGTTCCAAGTGTGCTGAAATGATCATTTTTGTGAAATCTCATCATCTAGAAAATCAAATGTAAGTGATAAT